TCCCTACAAGTTCTCTACATGAATTGCATAATAGAGATACAAGCAAGAATCATTAAGTTCTATGAAAAACATAAGCATTGACGAGGCACTCGTTACTATGATTTGCATGAAACTTATGCCAAGAATTTACTTAACGTGATTGTGACTAGCAACCTTCACTACTTGTGAATATAAGTTCATAACGATTAGGTGAAACTCCCTTATATTCTAGCGTCAAATTCATGCATGTAAATTAAGTATGCATTCTTAATCGACATACAAAAATAAGCTATCAATCAAGCAGTTAAGCAAATTAAATCACAACTCAGAAATCACAACTGAAGGTAATCAATTCATATTACAAATATATTCATGGCTTTGAATTAACCTCTAGCCAAAATAAATTTAGTTACACATTATTATCAAATTAAACCAAAAGTAAAACATGGGTTTGAGAAGATAAAACCAAGAAAAGAAGATCTGCTGCGTCCGTGCCTCTGTGATCTGCTTCCAATCCGTGCGCACTGCTCTCTCATGCTGCCAAAGGCAGCATACTCATTCTGTCCAGTCAGTATGTCTGATCTCTCACCCGCTGCCAAGGGCAGCTCCCTCACTCTACCTCTGACTTTTATTCTTTTATTTATATTTTATATTTCTTTTCTTTCTGGTCTGTGACCTCTCCTCTCTCCCCGCAGCTTCGTTCCACCCTGACCTCTCGCTGCGCAGTCCTCTCTGACTTCCTTTCTGCGCGCCTGACCTCGCTGTCAGTCTCTCTCACATCTCCCTGTTTATTTCCTCCTTCCTTCCCTCTTTCCTGTTTGCTGCCTTCCACTCCCTTATATTTCCTTTTTTATTCTTCTCCATTACTCCATGTCTCCCACTTCTTTATTTTCTTATTCTTCTTTCTCTGCTTGTGCTGTCCGTGTCTCCCATCAACTTCTTTCTTTTCTTTTGTTTTTGCCATTCCATGATTTTTCTAGTGGTCCACCCGTGTTCCACTTTTGATGAAAATGATCTGCTAAAGAGAGGAATGGTGGTACTTGCTCCATAGTTTCTTGTGAATTGTGACTGTGGCCAAGAAGCATGCATAAACTCTCTGGCGGGATACCTTCCATATAGAACAGGAATTCCTAAAACATGATTGTATAAAACTCAACTGCAAATAACAAACTACTAGATAATTCAAACAATAGGATCTTTCCCTAGAAGCCCAACTTTCATTCCAAATACATAAACGCGAAACATTGAAGAAATAGAGCCGCATTAAGAAGGTAGAATATCTAAGCATAATATATAAGCCCTTGAACACCTTTAGTTTTGTAAGGACAAGTTCGACCTATAATCCGTGACATAATTCTACCAATAACCCATGACAGAATGAGAACGACTAAAGCAATTTTCGACGAATTTATTATTTAAAACTCATTTGTGCTATTTTTATTTTCTTTGCATAACAAATCCTATAAACACAAAAATAACGTAAATAGCTCAAAAATATAAGGAACTAACCAAGAAAAGACGAGTGAATTTGAAGTAAAAATATATATAAATATGATCCGATCAATAGAAAAGGATAAAAAAAGTATCATTTTGAAGGCGGTGGCATATTTTGATACATGGATTTGGCACGCCTTTTTCGGGGTTCCGAGAGCTCAAAATGACCTCAATGTCCTTGCCCAATCCCCAATGTTCAACGAGGTCCTGCAAGGAAAGTCACCAAAAGTCACATACTAGGTCAACGGACATAAGTACGACGGGGCATACTACCTAGCAGACGACATTTACCTAAAGTGGTCATCGTTTGTCAAAACAGTGCCACGTCCACGAAGTGCAAAGGAAAAACACTTTGCAAGTTGTCAAGAGGGGTGCTGCCAAAATGTTTGATGTAGAGTCCCTTCGATCCATCATGATGACGTGCATCATTCTTCACAGCATGATTGTGGTAGATGAGTACGATTATGATGTCGTTGATGAATATGAGCCAGACACAATGAACAATTCCAAAACACAAATATATTGTGCTCATGATGCCATTGAAGAACCCGTACAACACGAGCTATTAGAAAGGGATGGACGTTACAATGATAGGCTTATTCAACGATATACTGCACTTCAAAGGCCATATATACACAATGCCAGACAAATTGACTTGATAGAGCACCAGTTGGAATTGAAACAAGCTAAAGATACTTAAGTTCATTTAATGTTTGTTTTTATTTGGTGTTTTTATTTAATTTTATGTGGTGTGTTTTTTTTAGTTCATTTAGTGAGTTTTTTTTTATCTGGTATGTTTATGTAATTTTATTTGATGTGTTTAAATGCCTTTTGAATAAAGATTCTCTTAGTATAAATAAATTACCAAATTAAATAAATATACTCTTAGTTTAAATAAAGTACTAAAATCAATAAATTGGAAACAACATAAAGTACTCTATTCAATAAATAAGAAATTACAACCCAAAGTGATTGGAAAATTATGGGCTCTGATTACAAAAAGTACTTTATTCATCATCACTTAACCAATTTGTGGTGCTAGGATGATCTTCTCTTGTCGTGCTAGGACCATCTCCTTTTGCTCTCGCTTCTCTTGCACGCCTTCTTCGCACCACGTCCAATTTCTCCGACTTCCAAAAATATTTAGAATTTGAAGACTTCCCTTCTAAAGGCGTGTTCATAATTTCACGATCTCATTGAGCCATTCTTTCTTCTCTAACATGTTTCCTTTCTTGCCTAAGTAGCTCTCTTTCTCTCTCATTAGCTTGAAATGCACTCTCAACAACTGTAACTTTTATCTCCTCTCTAGCCTTATCAACCTCAAATTTCACCATTTCCCACGCCAAAGTCAATTCACTTTGGCGAGCAAGTTCTTCCATATATTTTGCATAATCATTCTTGGAAGCACTCCCTTTCTTTGAAGTCTTCTTACCTTGAGGCCTAATTGGATAACAGGTCAACCCAGACGCTTGTTCGATGGGGGGCATTTCGGGCACTTCTTCTGCGTCATCTTCATGAACATGCGAGGCATGATCGGGTGTAGAGTGTAGAAGGGTTCTATTCATAAAAACTTCTGGACCGACAGGCACGACTCTGAATTTAGGACAATCTTTGACAATATTCAAACATTCCCATAGGTTGAATGGTTTGTTTTTCCTTTTGGTTTTGGCATTATACCAAGCTTGTGCTTGAAGTTCCTACACAACGCGGGAGAAGAAATAATTATAATGAAAGTAGGTAACAAATAAATAATACAAACAAATAATTATAATCAAAGTAGCTGACAAATAAATAAGACAAACAAATAAATAATATATTGTTACCTGATCCGATAAATTTTCCCCACTTCAAATATTACCACTAGCTTGTGCCAAGGTGTCTCTCCACGTACTAAACGATTGGCTAAGTAATTTCCAATGACTGGACATCAATTCTTTGGTTCTTTTCCCACACATTTTCTCAAGATAATTGGTATGAATAAGACTTCACATTTCTCGCAATTGCATCTCATTACCCGTAAGCGAATCATGAGTAACTTCAACCCAGCTAGTACACAATGCAACATCTTTAAGAAGCGTCCAATTCGTACATGCATCATTAGTCATTTTGTTGGAAAAAAATTGGATTGAAACTTTGATAGAAAAATAGGAATATGGTTGAAAGTAGTTGAGAAAATATGAAATTGTGGTGTAAGGTCGAAGATAATGAGAAGGTATTTATAGAAAAGTAAAATCAATTTTTTTTTAAATTTTTCAAATTTTTTTTCTTCTGATTTTTATTAATTTTTTACATTTTTTTAAATTTTTATTCACCTAATTAATCTCTGTTGTTGGATTAAAAAAAATTGAATTCCAACACTCCAGATTGTGCCACGTGGCACAACGGTAAGATTTCTGATTTTTAAACTGTTTTTTTTTTAATTTATAAAGGTGAATAATGTGGACCGTTGATCTTAGATCCAACGGTTGCAATTAAATAAGGTTTTAAAATTATTATTACCGTTGGAAATCCAACGGTATAAAACAAATAACCGTTGAGATCCAACGGACGCCGAGGTGCCATGTGGCCTCCAACGGTCACTGACGAAGTTGCGCACGCGGGCACCAGCGACTGACGCAAAACAAAAGAAAAAACATGACTAACGTAAGGGCGACATCAGCCTTGCATCAAACCCACTCTAGACTCTCGGGCTGGCAACTCTCCACAGACCTCTCCCCCGAGCCTGCTTGGGCTCCTTCTCCAGCACACGATGATCCTGATTGCTCGAGCTCCCTCGCCTATCCCTCGGGCTCCAGCACACGCTGGAGCTGCTCTCATCGCTGGGGTCGACTAGTTCGTCTCTACTTTCAAACCAACCGCAAAAGGACAAGCGACTCCATCTTCGTCGAGAAAGTCTAGAACAACTATAACAAATACTAGTCTTCTTCCGCGGCCAATGGAGATCGAACAATTATAACAACTGTTTCACCAAATCTTCTCCCTTAAATTAACATAAATAAATAATACATTAAAGTCATTTTGCCATCAAATAAGCTTTTGTTTATGGACCAAATCCGACAACTTAACCTAAAATTTTATCCACTGCCTCCTTTGTCTCTTTCAAATCCAGTCATGAACAACCCCAATTGAATTCTAATGATACCCAATCGAGTTCCGGTGATGGTGGTAAAGAAGCTGCTTTTGAAAAAAAATTGACCAACCCCAAACTAGTCATAACAAGAACCATTAAAGTGAAAAAAAACACAATGAAAGTTTGAAATTCTCTTTTTTGTTACAGGATCAAATATGATATTAAATAGTGGTTTTCAGTCCGATAATACACTAAATGGCCAACTATTTAGGATTAGTATGGAGGTTTTGTGCTGTAAAAAAAGAAAAGAAAAAGAAGAAGCTGTTTTTAGAAGTAGGGGTAGAGGCATATAGCTGCTTATGTTTTCTACTATTTTAGACCAGTATTTTGACAACAAACACTTGTTTTTCATTTACCAAATATAATTTTAGCTCCAGCATTTTTAAAAAGTTGTTTTTAAAATAATTTCAGCAATACTAAACCAGCCTGTAGTTGGATTATCTTATGCACAAATTAATCTATCAAGCTAAATAATCTGTACAATCCAATAAAAGACCAAAGTGAGTCTTCTCTTGAGCCATTGACTCTGCTACCTCTCTCCCTCTCTCCCCCCTAGACAACGCAAAACAGAGTAAGGCAAGGCAAAAAGGAAGGAAAAGAAAAGCCCTACAGCCCAACAGAAGAAGAAGAAGCTGATTCGGCGTCAACCACTGGCCATGGCGGCGGCATCCAGGTTCTTCTTCACTCTAACCCTAACCCTAAGCGTATGCCTCCTTCCGCTGGTGTATGCCAACTCCGAAGGCGACGCTTTGTACACGTTCCGGCGGAGCTTGTCGGATCCCGATAACCTGCTCCAGAGCTGGGATCCTACCCTCGTCAACCCTTGCACTTGGTTTCACATCACCTGCAACCAGGACAATCGCGTTACCCGAGTGTACCATCCCTTAAACCCTCTCTCTCTCTCTCTCTCTCTCTCTCTCTCTCTCTCTCTCTATACATATACATATACATAGATGTATATTACATTTGTGATTTGTGGTACTCCTTTTCTTCTGATTGATATGATGATGGTGTTCGCTATTTGCTTTTAGATTGGGTGATGACTGGATGTTTAATCAAATTGGTTTTCCAATTTATTTAGGTTTTTGTTATTTGTCACGGTAATTTGGGTATTAACGAATATATTTGAGCCACTTTTTCAAAGAAAAGAAAAATGGAACCATAATAGTTGAGTTTGGTTGGTCACTTAGTGTGGAGGTTAACATAAATGGACTCCAAATTTAGTTAATTTAGTGGTTAAAATTTGGAGGAATGGTAAGGTCATGTTCCACCACCGGTGTGTTGTTTGAACGGAAGAAGTTCTAGGATCACGCAACTGTCGAGCACATCTGGTTATTACGCTCCAAAATGCATCAGCCTTGTGCTCCACCGCTGCAGAATGCATTGCCAGTAATCTCTTAGCGCTGCAAGTTAGGCTGTTCGGCCATGGTATCTTAGATAGTGGGAAACAATTTTTCTCAATTTTGTGAGTGGAGATTTTTGCTATCTTAGCTCTTGATTAATCACCTACCTACCTGTTCCAGTATGTAGATCATTAAGATATACTGCAGTTGACCTTTTAGTTTATTGAAGAGTTTCAGTTGAGGGCGTCGGTTTTTCTCATTTCATAACTAATATTTTTGTTTTTCATAAATTTCTTTGTTTTTCTTTTTTTCCATTGTACGTTGTTGTTCCCGTTATTATTGTTTATCGTGTCAAAGAAACTATTCTGTGCAAACTTTAAATTGGAAATGAGGTACAATGGTTTTCTGTTTTATTTGGTCTGGGCAATGTGAGATTTGTACCCTCATGCATTATTGTTTCCGTCTTCTGTGGATTTATTGCGTTGGACTTGCTAGCTGCAGTGGTATTTATACGTATCTGCTGTCTGTTTCTTTCTTGCAATGAATGGTTGTATCATTGTATTGAATTTGATGTAAGAATATTTTGCTACTTCATACGCTAACTCAGGTGGGAGATTTGGTTGCCTTAATTTGTACATTCTTTAGGGAGGCAACTATAGTCTTCAGATTGTTTATTTTTTTTCCCCAAGTTATTATTCATCTGTTGTAAGTTTGAGAGTTTGATATTTTTGGCAGGGATTTAGGTAATTCAAACCTCTCTGGACATTTGGTACCTGAACTAGGAAAGCTTGAGCATCTTCAATATCTGTATGTTTCTCATCCTTGCTCATTTCCCTGGATTATTTGCTGGTTATTAGTAAAGTGTACAATTGTATTTGATCTTGTTACAATCTTGGGTGTATTTTGGCTGAGGGGCTGGGTTGTGTGGAAATCTGTGCCCTTGTTTTTACATAAATATGTTTCTTTACTTCCCATTAATACTTTCATATTGTATGGTAAACCATGCACCCTTGAATATAGGGAGCTTTACAAAAATAACATTCAAGGAACTATTCCAGCTGAGCTTGGTAACCTGAAGAGCCTCATTAGCTTGGACTTATATAACAACAACATATCGGGGACCATTCCTCCGTCGTTGGGGAAATTGAAATCACTTGTGTTTTTGTAAGTTTATTAGATTAAGCACTAAATTATGCCCGCATTATTACTGTTTTGGCTTTACTTAATCTATTTTCTTCATTTTGAAAATGGATGATTTGATTTCTAATAACCCTTACTTGAAAATTGCTGAATAACTTATTTGGGATCCTGGTTGAAGGTACAGCATTGGAAAATAAGCAGTGGTTCTTTATTTGTTGCCTTTTGCAATTTCTAGAGTGTTGCTTAGATTAGTGGACTAATCATTCACCTTATATACATATACATTTATGTGTATATTTATATTGGAGTAGTTATTTTGCACTTCTCCTAACGAAATATAGACGAGGCGTTTGACTTTAGCAATTTTTATTGGAAAGCCAGCAGTGATGTAAGACAGAGTTGGGCAGCGGAATATAGATAGTTTAGCGGAAGCCAAAATAAAGAAAACTTAGATTAAAACAACAATAAAGGATAAGTGGAATCACTCCAGGGCCATCACACCATTCTTGGCCTGTCGCCAAGAATTTTGGCATCACACCAAAATAACCCGGTCGCAGGATAAGAATTCCAGTTACTGGAAAACCAAACTTTTCTATTCATCGACTCTTCATTATTCTTGATTACTGAATTACAAGAATATTTATAATGCCTTAAACCTAAAGAATGCACGAAAGTAAGCTTATTATAGGAAAGAAATCCTAATCCAAAATAGAATGGGAAACTAAATATAATCCTAATTATACGGGGAAAGAATCTTAATCCTTATAAAACAACCGTTGATTCATGAAAACCACCACTTCTGTTCCTCATCAAGTGGGAGCGGCCGGCCCTGAAGCAATACCACGTTGGAGAGCTGGCGGTGAGGCAGCCACAGGGCTAGATTAAGTAGATTTCCTTGGATCTGATATAGATCCATGGTCTGACCTCAGATGTCTCACTAGGAAGAGAAAAGCTTTTTTTGTTTTTTTATTTCCAGTACATTTCTATGCTAAAAAGCAACACATATGGGTATGTTGGTTTACTCCTTTTAATGAAACAGTCAGTTTTATTAGTTTGGAATCTCTCCTTTTATTGATGACCAAAATGCAATTTTTATTCCATTTGTTATCTAAACTACGAAATAACATTTACAAGTCTTGAAAGCCTTACGCCTCAGGTAGCAGTACATTCCATGCCTCGGCTTATGACTTAGCGATTTTGAACTTTTCTCCCTATTAAAAAAAAATATATATACAGGAGAGTAGAGTGCATGTTAACTATTTTGTAGTGCACATAATAAATCCCTATTTAGATTCATATCATTAGATTTTTGTGGTGCAGTAATTGTTGCATCTCTCTCATTATTGCTTTGCTTTGGCAGGCGTCTCAATGACAATAGGTTAACTGGGCCAATCCCCAGGGATCTTACGGGTATTTCAAGCCTCAAAGTTGTGTGAGTGCTTCTTGTCTTAATCCATTTCTTCTATCCCTTTGTTTTTCTGCAAATGTGGGTAATTCTCTTGTGTTTTCTTTTTATCTTTTCTCTCATAAATACAGTTATTCATTTAAAATTGACACTTTTTTCAGGGATGTATCAAACAATAATTTATGTGGGACGATTCCTACCAGTGGACCATTTGAGCACATCCCCTTGAACAAGTAGGTCCCTTCTATTATTTATCATTTTGTTTTGTTATCATTACCCTTTTTTTTTTGGTTATCCAACTGGAATTACTCCTTAACTTCAACCATGGGAAATACTGTTTTGTTTTATCAGTATTTGAGGGCTTCCTTTTTGACACCTAATTACCAGAAAATGAAAAGGGTTTTGTGCCTTCTCATGGCAAAAAGAAAAAAGGGGTTTGCGTGGTTGCATTCCTGTTCTTGTTTGCATTGATGTTATGTATGTGATACCGTGAATTTCCCATTCACTTGTGCCCTCAGAATATCTTTAATTGGGAGGGTTATCCATTCCATTCGAATCCTAGGGACCAAACAAGGCATTTATGCTTCTCTGCATGATGAGAAAAAAAGAGAGAATATTTATTGCAAGTCTCTTAGGATTGTACCAAATACCAGGAAATGGGTCCATACTCTGTGTTATAGATGCTTTTACTAGAATAAAGTTGACTGGAGAGAATTTGTGCTATATATATATAGCACAAATGAGAAATTTAAGGGGATATGTATAGTATCTTATGCTCGTATAATATGTGTGCCTAGGAATACAATTTGGAATACTTTTTGCCAAGCACAAATAGCTCATTCAGGCAGTGCACACTGCTAGGTTTTCTACACTATGAAATAAACTAGAGTTAGGTGGACATGCTATGCGGTGTGTTGCTAGTTAGTGCAGATAGAATAGTCTGGAGGTTCTGCTTTATTACCATGTTGCCCTTCATCTTTTATGTTTATTGATGAATTTATCCCATAATGAAAAGGGTAGAATTGATTTTTTACACTCTAGTTGACAAAGAGAGTTCTCTTAATAGATAGTAAGTGTAGATAATTTCATTAGACACTGTCGTAGAGTTTTTCAGCAACTCTAAATTAAGTTGTGTTTTTGTGCGGTGTAGGAAGTTTAAACAATTTATTTCTTAGCGTTTGGTACGGTCAAGAGCAAGTTGAGTTTCAATGCGAAGGAAACATAGGTTGGCTGGTGTTAGGAAAAGGGTTTTCTTGTCTTGGTTTATTTCAAGCTGTTATTTGCTTGTGGTTTTATGAAGTAATTTGTATCTGTGTTTTCTTTTTGTCTCAACATTGTAGCTTTGAGAACAACCATCGACTCGAAGGTCCAGAATTGTTGGGGCTTGCAAGTTACGATACAAACTGCTCGTAAAGAAGATGGAATCTTGACTCTTTGAATTAGATATCTACGTTATAAAAGTGTGTCGTCGTCAGAATATAGGGGTTGGTTATAAACTATATTCCTCATATAAAGAATATTTGTAAATTTGGTGATACTAAATGGCATCGACACACTTGTAACTGTATCGTTGCGGTCGTGGTAATACGTTGAAGACATGATTTGCGTTGGTTTAGTAGCAGTAAAAGTTTTATGGTAATCTTCCCCTTTATTCTTACCCCCACCTTATATGCTTATTCTTCTATTTTACTTTTTATTTTTCATTTTTATACATGTTCAGCGCATGGAGGAAACCATATATGGAAGGCAAATTTTGAGATTTGTTTTTTCATATTTCAAAATATTAAGGCATTTTTGTGGACCGTCCCACGAACCTGTATTGAGTTTTAAATTTTTTTCCCTAAATTTTAATTTTAATTGATTATTTTCTGAACTTTTTTAATTAGCCAATTTCCTCCTTGAACATAATTTTGGCTGATTATCGTTCTGCACTTTTTTAAGTAGCTAATTTTCACCTTGATGTTAGATTTAAAAAAAAAATCATCAAATTTTCCATCTATTCGCATGATACCTATACAGGAGCAAAAAGAAAAGGAAAATTGGATGAAAATTTTTAAAATTTAACACTAGGGGAAATTGGCTAAAGGTAAATTTTGGAGGGGGAAAGTAGCTATTGCAAAAGTTTACGTGTAATCGGCTAAAATTAGTTCAAGGGAGAAATTGACAGTTCTTTACATGTTTAGGAGACAAATCTACAAATACCTCAAATAATAATGTAGTTCAAATTAGTTCTTGGCGAGAATTGGCAAATTTTGAATATTGAAAAATACTTGTACATTTATCCTCCTATCCAGTAAGTAGAATAATATAAAAAGCAAACTCTACCAACAACATAAACTACATGATACTTACCTACAACATAAAACCATGAATGATCAGTTCAATACTAAATGATTAAGGATGGACTATTCAATTCAAAACTAAATTATCATTGTATTTAATAGAAAAAAAAATTAGTTAAGAGAATTGATGGGTTTTGTGCTTGACTCGACTAAAATTTGATCTAACTAAGAAAAATAGTGACTCGTCATAAGTTATCTGCTAAACTCAACTGCTGAATTGAGTTTAGTTAAGTTGACTAAAGTAGGATGCTCTAGTCTTTTGTACTCAAGCTTAAATCACCGTTTGTAACATCCCACATCGCCCAGGGGAGTGGTCCTGTATGCCTTATATGTATATTCCCATCTCTACTTAGCACGAGGCCTTTTGGGAGCTCACTGACTTTGGATTCCATCGGAACTCCGAAGTTAAGCGAGTTCGAGCGAGAGCAACCCCAAGATGGATGACCCACTGGGAAGTTATCGTGTGAGTTCCTAGAAACAAAACTGTGAGGGTGTGGTGGGGGCCTAAAGCGGACAATATCGTGCTACGGTGGAATCGAGCCTAGGATGTGGTGGGGGCCCGGGTCGGGATGTGACAATTTGGTATCAGAGACAATCCCTGGCCGGATATGTGCTAACGAGGACGTTGGGCCCCTAAGGGGGGTGGATTGTAACATCCCACATCACCCAGGGGAGTGGATCCTGTAAGCCTTATATGTACATTCTCATCTCTACCTAGCACGAGGCATTTTGGGAGCTCATTGGCTTCGGGTTCCATCGGAACTTCGCGCGAGAGCAACCCCAGGATGGGTGTCCCACTGGGAAGTTCTCGTGTGAGTTCCCAGAAATAAAACCGTGAGGGCGTGGTCGGGTCCCAAAGCAGACAATATCGTGCTACGGTGTGAGTCGAGCTCGTGAAGTAATCCTGCCTTGGTCGGGATGCGACAATTATTGTTACATCCCACATCGCCCAAGGGAGTGGATCCTTTATGCCTTATATGTATATTCCCATCTTTACCTAGCACGAGACATTTTGGGAGCTCACTGGCTTCGGGTTCCATCAGAACTCCGAAGTTAAGCAAGTTCGCGCGAGAGTAATCCCATGATGGGTAACCTACTGGGAAGTTCTCATGTGAGTTCCCAAAAACAAAATCGTGAGGGCGTGGTCGAGGCCCAAAGTGGACAACATCGTGCTACGGCGGAGTCGAGCCCAGGATATGGTAGGGGCTCGGGCGGGATGTGACAATTTGATATCAAGCTAATCCCTGACCGGATGTATGCCGACGAGGACGTCGGGCCCTAAGGGGGGTGGATTGTTACATCCTACATTGCCCAGGGGAGTGGATTATCTATGCCTTATATGTATATTCCCATCTTTACCTAGCACGAGGTTTTTTGAGAGCTCACTGGCTTTGGGTTCCATCGGAACTTCGAAGTTAAGCAAGTTTGCGCGAGAGCAATCCCATGATGGGTGACCTATTGGAAAGTTCTCGTGTGAGTTCTCAGAAACAAAACCGTGAGGGCATGGTCGAGGCCCAAAACGGACAATATCGTGCTATGACGGAGTCGAGCCTAGGATGTGGTAGGGGCCCGGGCCGAGATGTGACACCGTTCATCTTTTGATGAATTTAATTTAGGGTAATTTTGTATAAAATCAATAAAAAGTTATAATAATATTTATGTTAATTATAAATTGGTCAATCATGTATTATGATACTTAAATGCCTTTAAAATAAACAATAATTACAAAATTTGCCACTACAGCTGTCACCCACTTGAACTGACATACTCTTTCTCATACTTTTATATTTTGGAATAGGTCAATAAAAATTCAGACACTGCAATGCAGTGTTTGTTCACATTTGGATTCAGATGCTGCGTTGCAGCGTCCATTTCCTAGTTTTGTTTTTTCCATCACTTATCGTGTGACTCTTGATTTTTACATTTAGATTCAGACACTGCAATGCATTGTTCGTTTCCTGGTTCAATTTTTACATTTTTACATTTGGATTCAGACACTACAATGCAGTGTTCATTTCCGGACTTTGTTTTTTTTTTTTTTTTGACATTTTGATTTAGACACTGCAATGCAGTGTCTATTTTTTGGTTTTGTTTTTTATGCAGTATCTGATTTGGGCTTCAATTAAAACATGTCGAAAACCAATTTGTCTTTCGTTCTCCATCCCAAACCTCTAACCCAACAAAAAAAAAAAACCCAAAAAATCAACTTGGACGTTCCAAAGCAAGACCCAATTTGAAAATAAACTGATTTCAATGGCTTGTATTTATTCATATATCAACGAGAGAGAGAGAGAGAGAGAGAGAGAGAGAGAGAGAGAGAGAGAGAGAGAGAGAGAGAGAGAGAGAGAGAGAGAGAGAGAGAGAGAGAGAGAGAGAGAGAGAGAGAGAGATTTTTATATTGCGGGGTTTCAGTTATGGATTCATGGCTTGTATTGTTTCATCAACGAGAAAAAGGCATTTGGGTTATCTTCACGTACATAAAAAGAGAGGATTTTTGGGAGAGATAATCATAAACCTTTTTATGATTTAATTTAGGGCAAAAAAGTCATTTTATAACTATTTATATGGACCTGAACATGTAGCATTCCTCATTGACCTATGTCTAATTAACAAAAATATTTCATTGATTAAGTCCAAAATAAAAATTGACCATTGATATATAGTTCATTAGTAAAATTTTTATTGACCTTTTACTAAATTTCCTTTTAATTTAATCATCCAATCGTTTGTTAAGGAAAAACAAAACAAAACAAATATAACAAGGATATTACTTGCATTCCTTCTTTCGAATGACATATCTTGAACGTACAAGTTTCATAATTGGAACCGTTCAATTTCTTAATCTTCATATGAAGTTGAAGATCACCCAAATGAAAAATCATCTCACTCAAGGATCATTTAGGTGTTCAAATATTTCAATTGAGGAGTTGACTCTCAAAAAATGGCTAAATCGATGGCTACATTTGGCCAGCCTGATGCCCATTTGGTCAAATAATGATCTGGTGGACTCTAGAGAATTATAGCCCAACCATTAGTTGTAGATGAATTTTTGGGCAAATCAGGCTGTTTTTTGGGTTTTGGACCTTTAGCCCTCTCAATTGGAGATGACCTAAGCTCTAAAGGATTCATTGTTTTTACTGATGATATTTCTCTTTACTTGTAAGTGAGAGATCTTAGGTTCGAATCACGTGGATGACAAATTCGATACAAAATTAAGTTGTCTATTATATAACTTAGTCGAATTCCCTCTCTTTTTAAGGTAAAATATATCCTTGTGCTAAAAGAAAATTATAAAAAAAAAGTTGGCCTTATGTAACCAAACGTATTTGTCCTGTCCATGCAAATGAGAAAATATCTAATTTTGTAGTGCCCGTAAAGGTCAAAATATTAACTACAGATCCTTTAATTTTTTATTTTTTATTTTGGTAACTTATAAAAATACTGGTATTAACTACATTAAGGGGCTCAATGATAAGGGTGCATATTGCAGCTTTCCAATAAACAAAAAATGTGGGAGGTTTCAGATTCAATGCTCCGAACTGATGAGTCTACTTGACTTTGCTTGACTGTGGCCATGGGTAGATGAAATTTTTTATAGCCTCTTCGGACACGGAAGAGATGGGTAATTGTGGCTTACCATCCGTTATCCCTTTTTTAATAAAAAAGAAAAAAAAATCAAAATACTAGTATTGTTCTAGGGGTGGAAAACTTTGTGAGCAAGTTGCTGTTTTTTTTTTTTATAATTTTTTTATTATATTTTTATAACAAAGAAACAAGTTGCTGTTAAAAAGTAAATATGAAAGGAAGAACAAAAATTTTGAATAAATATAATATTCTTAAATTGACATAGCTTGGACAACGTTACGAAAGAATTGGACAAAAAAACGAGAGGACAAGGAGATTAATTTAATACTTGATCAAGAAAAACGAATAAATATGTATAATTTTTCTTTAGTTTTACGTAACATTAAAGGACTAGGATTTTCTACACTCTTAATCTCTATTCCCTTCTATCCCCTCCTATTTAAACGGTTGTTATTACATCACGTTTACGTTCTGTTTAAATTTTTTATATAGAGAATAAGACAAAAAGAAAAGTGTGATAAGAGGAGATAGAAGGGGATGGTAATAGGAACAGAAAGAATCATACTCCAACATTAAATGGTAATTTTCTCATTTTGATCTTTATTTAACCGAAATTTTTACGAAATGACTAAAATTATTGATCGTATTTAAAAATTTTTAGACCAAAATGAGGAGTTATGTCATTTAGTACTACGGTTTAATGATATTCCTCTTCACTTGCAAGTGAGAG